CACCCCCTCCAACCCCGTGAAAACCCTTGGACACCGCACCCCCTCCACTGCAGGCCTTGCACACCATCCCTGCTCTGTGGGGTCTGGAGCAGCACTCCTGAAAGACCCATTGGCTCCTAATGATATAGAGCTTCCACCTTCGTGTGTCTGTGTGTGTGTGTGTGCGTGTGTGTGTGTGTGTGCACGCATGTGTATCTTCCTGTCTCTGTCATTCACATATGTGGTCTCCCTACCCAGTGATGAATGAGTGGTACAGGGGACAACTACCCTTGGATTTATGACACAAACAAAGCAGGGATACCAACCAATAATTTTTTAAAAAGAATTTGGTACTTCTGGCCAGGCACTGTGGCTCACGCCTGTAATCCCAGCACTTTGGGAGGTCGAGACGGGTGGATCACTTGAGGTCAGGAGTCCAAGACCAGCCTGGCCAAATGGTGAAACCCTGTCTCTGCCAAAAATACAAGAGTCAGCTGGGCGTGGTAGCGGGCACCTGTAATCCCAGCTACTGGGGAGACTGAGGCAGGGTGAATAGCTTGAACCCAGGAGGCGGAGGTTGCAATGAGCCAAGGTTGTGCCACTGCACTCCAGCCTGGGCAAGAGAGCAAGACTCCATCTCCCAGAAAAAAAAAAAGAATTTGGTACTTCTAAAAAAGAATGTAGTGCCGGGCGTGGTGGCTCAAGCCTGTAATCCCAGCACTTTGGGAGGCCGAGGCGGGTGGATCACGAGGTCAAGGGATCGAGACCATCCTGGTCAACATGGTGAAACCCCGTCTCTACTAAAAATACAAAACATTAGCTGGGCATGGTGGCGCGTGCCTGTAATCCCAGCTACTCAGGAGGCTGAGGCAGGAGAATTGCCTGAACCCAGGAGGCGGAGGTTGCAGTGAGCCGAGATCGCGCCATTGCACTCCAGCCTGGGTAACAAGAGCAAAATTCTGTCTCAAAAAAAAAAAAAGAATGTAGTAGTGGTAGTTGTCTTAGAAAACAAATCAGAACGTTGATGGACTTTTCTGCTCTCATTTTACTGTTTAGTGTTATTCTTTTGAATTATATGTGGATTACATAATTACATTTCAATTTTCAATGCTTACGGCCTCCTAAATTCTTGCCCTAGCCCTGATCCTAGCTCCATTCTCAGCCAGGACACTTCCTGCTTGTTTCTCCCTAGACAGAAGGGCTCTGTGAGGACAGCAACTGTGCCTCTGCTCCCAGAGGGAAGGCTCGCTGGGGGTGGGCCTGGTGTCTTCTGGTTTTCTCTTCTTAATCTTGTACCAGAGGCAAGACTCAACCACACGGTGCTGCCTCCTGACCACACCCCGCCTTTTCTGGCTGTGACACTGCTTATCTCTCCCCAGGCAAAGGTGACTGGCGCATCCTCACCAGGTACATCCAAGTGGAAGGACAAGGCTATGAGTATGTCATCTTTTTCCACCCACCCAAGAAGTCAGTCTTTCTTTTCCAACCAGGCCCCTACCTGGAGGGCCCCCCAGGGTAAGGTCGCCAGTAAAACCTTGGCTGCCTCCTGGGCTTGGCTCAGCAAGGCAGGTTCAGCACCCACTAGGCTGGCCCTGGAGTCTGTATCTTTCTCTAAGGGGTGAGGATGGGAGTGTGGGGCATGGGCTTCAGCCTCACAATACCAGGCCTGGAAGGACATACAGCATTATCTGGCCCAGTTCCCACTGTGCAGATAAAGGCTCCTCATCAAACTCTCAAACTTTTCCAGACAAAAGACCTACAAGGCCACTTTGAGAAGAATGTGGTACACTTGGAAGAGGGCAAGATCTGGAATCTAGACTCTGACTTCCTGTCCTGCTCGGCTGCTGCTGGCTGTGGGACTCTGAGCAAGCAATCTGACCCCTGGTCTTTAGTCTTCTTACCTGAAACCTGGGGCAATAATGTCTACCTGCCAGGGTGACCAGAGACATGATCTTATGGGCCTATGTGTGCACGCTCATGAACATAAAGCACGGTATAGTATCAGACACTGCTCATCCAAAACCTAGGCTCTACTCATGGGGAAATGGAGGTGCACACAGCTAAAGTAACTTCCCAAGGCAGCACCAGCAATCAAAGTCAGATGCAGGGCTCTATTCTGAGAGGTGAGAGTCAAAGTCCACTCTTCTCTCCACTACACTCTGCTGCCTCCAGGCTTGGAACAGACCTAGGGAGGAATGCACACTGGGCATAAATGTGTCCACAGGCTGGCCTGGGCCACCAAGTTCATGGTTGTCCTTCTTCTCCTCCATCCCTATGCCTGCTCCCGACAGTCACTGAAAGCTGGAGGTGGCACTAGAGCTCCTGCAAGGGAAAGAGAGACAGAGAGGGCAGGAGTGGCTTTAGGGTCCTGAGGCCTGAGAGGGGCTCAACTGGGGTTAAATAGAATCCAGACTGCTAAATAGATGTCAGGGCCTCCAGAGGCTGTGGATGCCAACTGCAGCCCTCAGTCACCCTGGTCATCCCAAAGGAGTCCTCCACCAGGACACCGCTCCACACACTAGGATGTGCAGATACTAGTGAAAAATTCGTGTGTGAAGATTTCAATTTCGATTAGGATATGAAGAATTGCTCAGAACCCTGCCCAGGCCAGGGACCCACCCCCTCTTCTGAAGCATGGTTGACTTTTATTTAGGGGCTGATGGAGGTAAAGCCAAAGAGGCAGAGGAGAGCCATCCAACACCGAGGCCAGTCAGTGGATTGAGGGGTTGGGGAGGTCCAGATTAGTATCCACCAGGCCCCTAGACCACGGGGAGTGGGAAGGAAGAGTTACTCGTTGACCAAGAGCTACTCTGAAGATCCACATATTGGCCAGTGGGTCCCTAGCCTGGCCAGTGAGGACAAGAAGGAGAGAGTTGGGTTTGAATTCTTTGACACCAACTCCTTTCACCCTCTTTCAAGCAATTTGGGAGGCAGAGAGGGAAGTGCCTACAAAGTGTGTAAATTATGTTTGCAAACTTTTATTTAATCCGCTGAGATCAAAATTATTCTTACTCACAATTCATGGTGGAAAAACTAAGTCTCAGAAAGATTTAGCAATCTGCTCAAGATCAAACAGGCAATGAGCAATGGGGCAAGGAGTCCAACTGGGTGAGTGTGGCTGCATGGCCCCCAGCTTTCTCACCGAAGAAGCAGGGAAGGAAGGGTATGGGAAAGCCACTGGTCACAGGAGCAGGAAGGTAACCCACGGCAGTAGAGCATGGACAGCTGATCTGGGTCTGTGGAGAATTGGGACTGTGGTTTTGAAAATTAGGAACTCAAGCCAGGCGTGGTGGCTCACGCCTGTAATCCCAGCACTTCGGGAGGCCGAGGTGGGTGGATTACCTGAGGTCAGGAGTTCAAAACCAGCCTGGCCATCATGGTGAAATCCCATCTTTAAAAAAACAAAAAAAAATCAGGAACTCAAATCCATTTGGTGCTATTGGAATTCTAAAATTGGGTGCCTTTCTATTTTCCCCAAATTAGCCACCCACAAAGTAGCTAACATGAAGCTTGCACAAGCAAGAATGAACATATTATGCTTTTTTTTTTTTTTTTTTTTTTTTTGAGACGGAGTCTTGTTCTATCGCCAGGCACCAGGCTGGAGTACAGCAGTGCAATCTTGGCTCACTGCAACCTCTACTCAGCAGTTTCAAGCGGTTCTCATGTCTCAGCCTCTCAAGTAGTTGAATTACAGGCACTTGCCACCACACCAATTTAGTTTTTGTATTTTTTAATAGAGATGAGGTTTCACCAGGTTGGCCACGCTGGACTGGAACTCCTGACCTCAAGTGATCTACCCACCTCAGCCTCCCAAAGTGCTGGGATTACAGGCATGAGCCACTGCGCCCAGCCATTCTAGGCACTCTAAATAAAGCAAATGTCTGCAGCATTTGAACATTTCAGCTCAATTTCAGCAATGAGCCTGCTGAAGTGGGTTCTCTGCTTTCTGTGGCAACACTGCTCTCAAGTCTGACATGCCAGCCCCTTGATAGGTCATAAGTTATGTTTCACATTTACTTATCTTGACATGTGGGCCCCGCACTGACTGTAGGGACTGGTAAGGTGAGAAACAGCCCAGGGTTGTGCCTCCAAGACTGAGTCAAAAAGTTCAGGGGCTTCTTCATTTCCCGTGTATGCACATCCTTCCAAATTATGGCAATTGTCGCCAGCAATTAGGTAATGAATCAGAAAAGCATTTTCTATTAACTTTATCAGGAAAAAACCGTTTTCCCTGATGAAACAGAATAGTTGTATCAGTGGCTGCAAACACATGCTGAAGCAAATCAGCTCAGCTGATTTTGATGGATTTGATCAGATGGGATGCAGCTGTTTCCTTTCCTGTTTTTCTGCCCTGAGGCTGAAAGTCTGTGTTTGGAAGGGTCTAGGGAAAGGGAGAGGCGGGGTCCCCACAGGAGGGAGGAAAGGCCCAGTGTGGGGGTCCACCCAGCGGCCTCAGCCCAGACCTTACTCCTCACCCCACCCCCACCCCCAGGTTTGCCCATGGCAGTCATGATGGACGAGGCCTTTTCTAAAATTGCCTACCTGGCTGGACAGGGGCTGCTCACACAAAGCCTCAACATCAGGTTCAAAAAGTAAGTAAGGGCCCTTGGGGCACTGGCCAAAGTCACAGCCCTTTTCATCCCTGGGAGTGGCTGTCCTCGGCAGCTGGGGTATGGGAGCCCTGCCTGCCACTCTCCTTCCCAGCCCACTCCCAAGCAGTTCCTCTAGTCCCTCGCCAGGACGCAGCCTCTGCTGTCCAACATTTGGAAGCTGACAAAAAGGCCCTGAGCCTAAGGCCACTTATGAGACCTCGAGGCAGGGAGGAATGAAGAGAGGGAAGAAGACACAGAGGGTGAAGGGGTGGGGGGCCGGGTTCACGTAAGAGGTGGGCTAAGCTGCCTCCTCTCCTAGCTTGATCCCCGTGGGCTCTCTGGTTGTAATGGACATAGAAGTGGAAAAGATAGAAGACCAGAAGCTTTACATGTCCTGCATCGCCCAGAGCAGAGACCAGAAGACAGTCTATGCCAAGTCCTCAGGTAAAGAAGCCCCCAGCCCCACCCCAGGCCCCGTCCTGCCACCACCCACCCCCAGAACAAACAGGAAGAAGGAAAGATGCCAAGGATTCGCCCCAAGCCTCAGTCCATCTTCTTTAGGGTGGGTAGGGCACCTGCTGGAGACACAGACGAAGTGAGGGAGAGCAGAACTAGGGTTTTTTCTGTGTGAGTTATACAACCCGTCCTGAAAAGACAGCACCCAGGTACTGGGTAATTTGATGCCACGTGCTCAGAGTGTCCATCCGTCTCCTGCCATCTCAGTGCAGCTCTTGCAGCTCAGCTCACCCTTCTCTTGCAGGTGTCTTCCTTCAGCTGCAGCTGGAAGAAGGGTCGTCGTCCCAGAAACAGTCACTGTGCCTGCAGGAAAATCTCTCACTGCTTCTCCTGCCTGCCTGGGACCACCACAGAGCAGGGAGGGGTCCTCAAGAAGCAGTTGGTGAGGCGAGGGAAAGGGCTCTTTTTTTTTTCTCTGAGTTAATAAAGTCCCACAGCCCCATTCTCGGCCCAGGGCCTTTCTATGGTTGGAAATCAAACTCTTTCCAGGGCATCCCACATACCCACCTTCCCATTCAGCACCAACTTAAAAGACTTACTGAGTACCTGCCAGGTGCCAGGCACTGAGTGAGGCACCAGGCACCCAGCAGTGACGGACAGGACCCCCGACCTCAAGATGTGCCATCTGGGAGCCAGGGGCCAAATGCACAGAGTGCTCCATCACACTTCTCCCACGCCCACCCTGGCTTCCATCATGAGTGCAGTGTCATCTCAAAGGGAGGAGAGGGCAATTGTACTCCACGAAAGCAATCAGAAAACGCCTTCTAGAAGAAGCTCTTCCTGAACCGTCTCAAAAGTTAAGAGGTGTTCACTAGGCAGGCAGGGGAGGACAGGATGTCTCAGGCAGAGGGAAAATAAGACAAAGGTGCAGAGGTGAAAGTGCACAGGGACTTTGGAGAAGAGCAAGGTGTTGAGGAGGGCAGGCGTTTATGGAAAGAGAAGGTGGGCAGGGCAGGAGCAAGCCACGGGAAGGCTTCATAATCCCTGCTGGAGAGCTGGAACTTTGTCTTGCAGGCAACAGGAAGCCTCTAAAGGCCTTGTGCTGGGGAGTGACAGAGCTTTGTTATTTAGAAAGATGACTCAGTGGCAGTAAGGCATCAGCAAGAATGAAGGCAGGAGCACTGGTCAGGAGAGCCCTGCAGGCTTTACACTAGAGACAGTAAGGGCTTGCAGGGGCTGGGGCCTCCGTGCTGAGAGGTATGGGAAAATGTTACAAATATAGCAAGTGCAGGATTTTGCCACCAGTTATACAGTGTGGCTCTGTGAATGAGAGCTGTCTAGGATGACTCCAAGTTTCTGGCTTGACAGGTTTCCAGGCGATTATCACTGGAAATACAGAAAGAGGTGGGGGTAAAGAATGAGCTCCATTTTACATGCATCGAGCTTGAAGTGCCCATGGAAGTTGTACCATGTGGCAGGTGCCAGCAGGAATGTGGATATGGTGCTATGGGGCTCAGGAGAGACGAGTTACTGATCGACATTGTGAGTCAATATGAAATGTGACCTGAAGCCCCTGGGAATGCGTTAGGCAGAGAGAAAGTGAGAAGGAGGCAAAGGGAATGGCAGAGGTGAGGAGGGACGGGAGATGGGAGGGAGGGAAGAAGAAAAGAGGTCAAATATAGAACCCGAACCTTAGGTCACACTGAGACTTCAAGTTGGGATAGAAGACCAAGGATCCACTACGGAGGCTGAGAACAGGACAGGCACGACCATCCTTCAGAGGAAGAGGCCAGCAGTAGCAAATGCTGACGAGAAGGCAAGGAAGATGAGAATTAAAAAGAAGCCTTTGAGCCAGGTGCAGTGGCTCACGTCTGTAATCCCAACACTTTGGGAGGCCGAGGCGGGAGGATTGCTTGAGGCCAAGAGTTTGAGACCAGCCTGGGCAACAAAGTGAGGCCTTCATCTCTACAAAAAGCAAAATAGTAGGAAAATAAAATAAATCGGCACATCATAAAATTAAAAAGAAGCCTTTGGATTTGGTCATGAAGAAAATGTGGTTTCCTTTGCCAGAGCAATTTTAGGAGGTGGAAGAAAAATCCAGATTACGGTGAATGAAAATATGAACAGGGAATGGGGAAATGAATGTAGATGCTTCTTTCTAGGAATGTTGTTGTTATTCAAGGAAAGATATTTGAGTGTATTATAAATTGCTAGTGGAGAGAGGCTGAAACCTTTAGGAGAAAGAGAAGCAGGGCCGCCATCCAACAGAGCAGCTCTCTTAGAGCTGTCTTGGAAGCCATGGGAGAGCATCAGCATGACTGAGACCAAAGGAAGGAGGAAAAGTATAGATCAGGACAGGAAGCTGAGGAAGTAGAGATCGGGACAGGAAGTTGAGGGGATTCGACCCAGAGTGCTTCAACTTTCTCAGTGACATGGAAGGCAAGGCCATCAGTGGGGAAAGAGCGGTCTGGAGGAAGGGGGATGGTTCGGAAAAGCCGCTGCAGGGATCAGGAAAACAGGTACCAGGTACACGTGTGGCCAAGACATGCTTGAGTGCCCTGCTGGTAGAACACAGGTGTCTGGAGTGGCACCAACCTTAGGAGAGAGGAAGGTGGGAGCCAGCTGGCAAAACTCAAGGGCAATGGTGGGTGAGTCGGGTGAGAACAGTGGAGGGGGAGGAAAGAGAGCAACACGGCTGGTACACATTTCTAAGGACAAAGATTTGCTGTGAGGAAGAACAACAATGGAGGAGGCAAAGGGTGCCCAGGAGAAGTCTGCAGCTCCTCTAAGCCTGGGGAGGCGAAGGATGGGACCAGCTTCCACAGAGAGGGCTATACGAAAGAGGTGACCTGTCCTGAGACTGCCGGAATTCCACTGAGGCTAGTAGGTGGAGGGGATGTTCAGGCGGAGCTTAAGATCAGGGAAGGTTTACCAAAGAATGAGAGCTTCCAGGGCCATATCGTAAAGGACTTTGTTATTAGGTATGGTAAAACCAAATGTTAAAACAGATAAGGCTTTAAATCTCCATAGCTGAACACATATCTTCAAATAGAATGTATTTCTCACTCACATAAAGTTCAGCCAGTGGTGTCTAGGAGTCATTCAGGACCCTGGCTGACAAAAGCTTTGTTATCTCCAATACTAGACTTCCAAAATCGCCCTCGGTGTTGGCATCCAGTTGCCAGATGAGAGAATCCACAAGGGAGATGTTCTGGGTCAGGCCTCCAGGTGGTTCCATTGGCCAGAACTCAGTCACGAGGCCCCCCCCAAACTGCAAAGAAGGCTGGTTAGAAAATACGGTCTAACTATATGTTTTTTGTCTTTTTTTTTTTTTTTTTTTTTTTGTAATCTACAAACTCGACTCAGGTTTTGCCAGTTGCCCACTAATATCCTTTTTGTGGTTCAGGATCCAATTCAGAATCATACACCGCATTCAGTTGTCATGTTGCTTTCTTTTTCTTTTCTTTTTTTTTTTTTTTGAGACAGAGTCTCGATCTGTTGCCCAGGCTGGAGTGCAGTGGTGCAATCTTGGCTCACTGTAACCTCTGCCTTCAAGGTTCAAGCGATTCTCCTGCCTCAGCCTCCAGAGTAGCTGGGATTGCAGTGTGTGCCACCATGGCTGGCTATTTTTTTTTTATTTTTAGTAGAGGTAGGGTTTCACCATGTTAGCCAGGATGGTCTTGGTCTCCGGACCTAGTAATCTGCCCGCCTCAGCCTTCCAAAGTGCTGGGATTACAGGCGTGAGCCATGGCGCCCTGCAGGTGTCATGTTTTTTTAATCCCCTTTCATTTGAAGCAGTTCCTCTTTCTTTGTCTTTCATGACTTTGACCTGGTTTTTTTTTCTTAATTTCTTTTTTTAGAGACAGGGTCCTGCTCTGTTGCCCAGGGTGGAGTGCAGGGACGTGATCATAGATCACTGCAGCTTCAAACTTCTGGGCTCAAGAGATCCTCCTGCCTCAGCCTCCCAAGTAAATGGGACTACAGACGCATGCCACCACGCTCAGCTAATTTTTTTTTTTTTTTTTTTTTTTTTGTATAGATGGGGTTTCTCTATGTTGCCCAAGCTGGTCTCAAACTGCTGGTCTCAAGTGATCCTCCTGCCTTGGCCCCCTGAAGTACAAAAATTACAGGCACGAGCCACTGTTTGGAACCCAGTTCACCGACATGTTTCTCAGAGGGCAAGTTGGTTGTCCTGTGAGGGTTCCAAGGTTTGGATTTCTCCAGTGTTTCCTCATAACTAGATTGAAGTTATGCATTTTTGTCGGCAATATTTCAGCAGCAAGGCTGTGGCCTTCTCAGTGCTTCATGACAAGAGCAACGTGATGCTGATTTGTCCCATTCGTGCCAATGTTCCCTTTGATCAGTTGATCACTGTGGTGTCTGCTATATTTCTCCACTGAAAATTACTATTTTTTTTTTTTTTGAGATGGGGTTTCACCATTTTGGCCAGGATGGTCTTGAACTCCTGACCTCAGGTGATCCACCCGCCTCGGCCTCCCAAAGTGCTGGGATTACAGGTTTGAACCACTGTGCCCAGCCTGAAAATTACTATTTTTATCTTCTTAATAAGTATCTTATTGGGCGATACTTTGAGATTGTATAAATATCCTGTTTCGCATCACACTTTTGCCCATTAATTTTAGCTTTTATTGATCATTCTTGCCTAAGGCAATTATTAGATAGTGGCATGGGAAATTTCTAACGCCATCATCCTTTCAGCATGTTTTCATTCTAATGATATGTTGAAGAAGAAAGTAAAATAGGGGCCAGGCATGGTGGCTCACGCCTGTAATCCCAGCACTTTGGGAGGCCGAGGTGGGTGGATCACTTGAGGTCAGGAGTTTGAGATTAGCCTGGCCAACATAGTGAAGCCCCCATCTCTAACAAAAAATACAAAAATTAGCTGGGTGTGGTGGCACACGCCTGTAATCCCAGAGACTGGGGAGGCTAAGGTGGGAGAATCATTTGAACCTGGGAGGCAGAGGCTGCAGTGAGCTGAGATCATACCACTGTACTCTAGTGTTGGTGACAGAATGAGACTCACAAAAAAAAAGGATGACGACAAAAGAGAAAGAAGAAAGAAAGAAAGAGAAAGAAGAAAGGAAGGAAAGGAAGGAAGGAAGGAAAGAAAGAAGAAAGAGAGAAAGAAAGAAAGAAAAAGAAAAAGAAGAAAGAAAGAGAAAGAAAAAGAAAGAAGGAAGGAAGGAAAGAGAAGGGGAGGGG